TAGGGTCGTACAATTAAGAGAAATGACTCACTCTGAGGACAGCGCAAGGTTACTGCGGCTATATATTTGCCTTGATAGAACATTGCCGAATGAATGAACGGAGGTATGATTACATAGGACAAGGCGCGTAGGTACCGCGGTCATTCATGTAACAGAAGGGGAGAAAGATAACGCGTGAAAACACGTATTGAAGCGACTTGGTGCAACAATCCCGTGCATTGCTTAATTAAAAGGTGCTGGTTGACGGTCGCTCGCCTAATTCCTGCTGCCATAACTCCTGTCACCGAATCCGCCGCTTAGAATGAGCCTTAGATGCATGCGAGGTGGGTTGTCAGGGTGATGAGCCATTAGTAAAAGTCGTGTTCCTATTTTAGTCGAGTTGAGGTGAGGAAGGGGTGACTTGTGACTGATGTGTCAGCTGTGATTGAAGCCACATTGTGTCCTTTATCTTTCGCTCTCATTGTCTCTCCAAATCATGTTCCCTGATACTTAAGTCACACAACTCCCATTGTATTACAAGAGCCATGCTTGCTCCAAAACCCCTTCTCGCCACTCTGCAGCACATAGACACCTCGTCGCCACTCGCCACTCAGCTACAATTTCCATCCACTGTAAGACTCAGTTTTCTCCATTTACATCTTTTTTCTAATGATCTAGTCGCAGGCCCTTGAACGTCTGAGATCTCCCATACATCTCACTGAACCATCCGCTGATCTACAACCAGTATGTTCAAACTTGGATCTGGTGTTCACAGATACTTACGTGTCTCTAGTCCTTAACACCTTCCACTCAAAGACGCTCAAAACCCAGTCCTCATCCTGCACGTCGTCGCCGCCCAACACGCGAATGCCGCGTAACCCCCCGATCGCATGCATTTGATGATTTACCATGGATAGCCTCCTTGGAATCATCTCCGGATCTCATCAATCCATGGGATATTGCCGATCTGTCTCTACTTCCCGTCCCTGTGTCAGAATTACCTGCTTCCGGCCCCGGTCCTGTTCGCCGACGAAAGACGTCTTTGCGATCTAGCCCCCTTGCTTCTTCAAAGACTATACCTCCTCTCCCTATTCGCGATACCTCACTTCTACTCTCTCCGTCTCTATCAACGCCTCGATCACATTTCACTCCTTCCCGGGTTCTGTTTCAGAACCTCATGCCCGTAGCCTGCGACCTTTTGGAGCGGCCTTGTATCAACAACTCACGAATTTTCTGATTCAATATCATTCGCAATATCTGATCTGCACACAGCTTCTGTCCAACTGCAACAAATCGCTGCTCAGCTAAATCTTCTACTCGACGCTTTTTTCGACATTCGTTCCTTTCGTCATATACAACATCAGCATGCGCAATGTAATCAAGAGTCCATGATGACCTTCACGCGCCTTAAATTAACTCTGCATCACGATCATTCGCACGTACTACACCGCTCAAGCATCAAATTTCCGATATCATCGACTCAAAACACACTCCTATAATAGCTTCATCCATATTCGAAATGTTATCGTATCGTACGAATCTCTCAGCTGTTCTAACACCCCGATCTTCATGATTTATTTGTTGTTATGTCACTTTTTATGTCTTCTTCTGTCATTTGTCCGTTGCATCATTGTCGTATATTTGCTTTCCGATCTACCGTTCCCCCTGCTCTAAATAACGCTGCAAGCTTATCTTTTCATTTCTCTATCGGACAAATTGTTGCCTGGGTACAACGGACATGCCCTTTCAAATCACTTATGTATGTTCTTAGGGTTTCACTGGTTGTCCCTTCTCGAGCAATGTCGTGTTTTTATGTATATGCAATGCAATGTGTCTGATTAGATGAGATTACCAAGAAAGGTCTTGGAGCGTATCCACAACGAACATGACCCAGACCTCGCGTGTTATCAATTTTGGCGCAGGTCCCTCTGCATTACCCGAATCTGTTCTCAATGAAGCTGCAAAAGCACTGCTCAACTTTGAGAACACTGGGATTGGTATCGCCGAAATCTCCCATAGGTCCAAAGAATTCTCTGCCTATCTCGCCAACGTCGAGGATCTCATTCGAAAACAACTCAATGTACCCCCAACCCACTCCATCTTGTTCTTACAAGGAGGTGGTACAGCCCAATTCTCAGCTGTAGTTCTCAACATGCTAGCTCGCCATCATTTACTCCACCCAGATATGAAAACTGAAGACCGAGTCATGGATTATGTTATTACTGGTTCTTGGAGTAAATCTGCAGCTAAAGAAGCAGGTCGATTAGCTGGAGGAGCTACAGTCCATATCGCAGTTGATGCTCGGGAATCTTCAGTGGACGGGAAAGCATTCAGTCATATCCCCTCGCATGATGCATACAAGTTCTCAAAAGACCCAGCGTTGATATATTACTGCGAGAACGAAACTGTTTCAGGCGTACAGTTCTCCCATGACGAGAACGCTGCCGAATCTTTCCCTTTCCACCTCCTTCCAACAGATAAATTGCTACCTCTCGTAGCCGATTACTCTTCCTCGTTCATGTCCCGTCACATCCCCCGACTAGCAGATCATGCTATTATCTACGCCGGTGCCCAGAAAAATATTGGTCCTGCAGGTTTGACCATCGTCATCGTTCGACAAGATTGTATCGTAGACGTCGATGCTGCAGCTAAATTGGGAGCTGTACCTGTTCCCGTTGGTCTTGCGTACAAAACTTTCGCAGACCAGAAGAGTATGCCTAATACTCCTCCTGTGTTTTCTGTTTATGTCGCTGGACTGGTATTGAAGAGGAATCATGAGTTGGGTGGTGTGACGTACTATGAGGAGCTTAATCGAAGGAAGCAAGAAAAGTTGTATGCGGTACTAAGAGAGGGTGAAGCAAAGGGAGTGTTGAAGAGTCATGTGAAGCCGGGCAGTGGGAGCTGGATGAATGTGGTGTTTGGAGTTCTTGGGGAAGGTGCAGAGGCAAAGTTTTTGACTGGAGCTGAAGAGGAAGGGATCAAAGGGATTAAAGGTCATCGGTACGAATTTTTTTCCCTTTTTCCCTCTGTCCTTTCCTCCAGAATTTATAAATTCGTAACAGATCGATAGGGGGCATCCGCGTTTCCCTCTACAACGCGATCACAGAAGAACAAACAGACAAATTCGTAGCATATACGCGTCGATTTTTGGAAGAAACCCCAGCTCAACAACCTCCACTCCCATCTGAGTCGCTGAAACAGTGACTCTGAAGAGGAGAAACAAAAAAAAAAACGACAAAACCTCGACTTCGAAATTGAAGACTGGCAATTCGATGGTCATGATATTTCACAGACTTTTAAAAAAATAAAAATCTCCATTCAACTTGGAGGGTTGGTTGATGGATGGAGTAAATAGTCCTTGCGGCGATATGTGCCACAAGGGATGGATCGGACTTGTCGTTTGTATTCAATGACGTTGCAATTGTAGGCTATTTGACTTAGTAATTATAAGGACTGTTACGACTTGTCAGTAAAAGACAGTGTTCTGAGGGAGTTGGATGAATAGCATATATTTTTCTGTATTCAGGAAGTTATAATCGTCACTTTGCCGGAGTGGTTAACGGGATCGCCTGCTACCTTGTAGTAGATCAGCGGTTGGTCTTTGACCGCGAGTGTTCGAATCGCTCAGGTGACGCTTTTTTCCTCCTTGCTCTTAGCAACTTATGTCGACTGTCACCATCTACATTACTCTACCACTTGTTTATTAACTGACTTCTCATCTTAACTTGAGCTTCTATCGATAGTCAAGTAAGTGGTCTGTAGACAATTTTATATGGCAAATTCATCGCTCCAGCGATGATGACTTAGAGGCACTCGGAAAACCCCAACTTTTGGTCACTGTAGCGGCTGGTTCAGATATAAGCTCTGCAGACCCTCGTATATGGAACGGATTACGGCTAGCCTGGTACAACTTGGATGGTCACCATACTTGGGCTTGACTTAAATTCGGCTAGCTGTCCTTCTCCTTTCCTGCTATCTTTTCTTACTAGCGCGTGTTACGAGAAACTTTGCCCTCCTATAACACCCAAATCAACCGTGATGATTAAAACCTTGTTATTGCTCGTCTCGTCTTGCATCAGATTCAGCCTCCAAATTCTACGCATAGCCATAATTAAGGCGTTTCTCCCCAGAATGCCACTGCCTAATTGGAGAAAGGAAGTTGTTGTTTCAAATCGACGTATTCGCAAGCATGGGAAACGAGGCAAGTAGTGTTGTTTTTTTTTACTTACGAATTTGCAGCTAATACACAATCCAACGCTTAGCTTCGACGGGTGGTCCTGGTCGTAGCTTGGCAGACTCTTTTGTACCCACAAACGACCACAAAGAAGCCACTCGCTTCAAGATTCCAAAATCCCTCACCGTTCCGGTTGACAAGGTCATCGTCACACCGACCAAGCCTGCAGTCGTCGAATTTGAGTTCTCCATCTACACCGTCTGTATCCTCTCTCTGTTCATCATCATCCTATAGTCCTTTCTAACTCTCTTATCATCAGGATCCTGCTCCTCAAGACACTCATTACCTGTTGACTCCACTTCGTCCTCCGCCTATCAAAGAAGTCACCTTTACTCTCCTCAAAAATGCAAGCGAACGCGTCAGCGAAATCCTACGAGAAAACCGTCGTCGACTCGATGCTGGAGAAGACCCAAGTACTGTTCGAAGTACGTTTATTTTTGCTTGCCAGTTTCTGGATAATTAGATTGTCATTTCTTTTTTCTCTCCTGTGTTATAGAGGAAGCACGTCGGAAGCGAGCCATGGAACTTTCTGCTGCTCGTAGAGGGCGGGCGAAACTCCTCTCTTATGTCACTTGATTACCAGCGATTCTATTTCCAAGTGTTTTGTCGGTCCTGTTGTATGCTAGACTATTGTTGTCAATGTAACTGGACTCGCGATACTAGTAGGTCTGTTAAAAGCTTCCAACTCTACCGATATGGTGCCGGACACACAAGTGCCATGCAAAATTCAGTGCTCAAAGGTAAGTAATATAAAAAGTGGTCGGTATAAAAGAGAAGGAAAAAGAAGCTGCCCCAGTGAGGCTCGAACTCACGACCTTCCGATATCAGATGAGTGTACTCACTTAACAGTCGGACGCTGTAACCAACTCAGCCATGGGGCACATGGCATCCGTTCGTTTCTAACCTATATTACTCGACTGGTCCATCCGAGTCATACAGTTTGTTATATAACCCGCGCTCGGATGGAGAACCATTTGAAGAGTATTAGAGATAACCCATTGTTCTATGGACGGTGAAGAATCAAACACTAATTACTTAGTAGTAGTAGCCCGCCCTCTGATAAGCAAGTGTGTTGAGCAATGGGTTGCCATGCTCGCTGTTGAAGACGTCGTGACTCGGTCATAGATAATGCCTCGCATTATACGGGCAGCACCACCGCCTTTCATTTAAGCGATGTCAGCCCGGCCCCAGAAGGGTAAACTATTGGGGGCAACAGTAAAACTCCCAACTTTTTACCCCGAACCCATTCCAACAACGAATGTACTCCGACCACCTCTGGGAAGGATCAAAACCTTCTCTGCCCCATGTTCCTGGTATGTTTCAATACTAGGAACAGCCATAGAACTCATCGAAGTCAGACCAGCCGTGGGAAGGGCCGTGATAGAAACCTTTGGCAAAGGGAATTCTCCATGATGCAAAGCGATCATCGTGATTGGCACAGTATGAATTGTTCCATGCTGTTGTTTTTTTTTTATAAAAAAAACTGCACGTTCAGAGGGTTATCTCGGACTTAGAGTTAAATTCCTTACCGTTGCCATGAAGTCGCCTCGTTTAGGTCCGCTAACCAACCATTCTCTCACCATATCTTCAACATTAAACCGGAGGGCATAACGACGCGTCGGATCGTTCTGCTTGGCACCCCAATGAAACGAAGTCTTTATTGTCAAGTTGGCAGATATGGGTTGGCCAGCATAGAGGGATGGTTTCGTATTAGGCTCCATCTCTTTGGCGAAAGGCGTTGAAACGATATGGATACAAGCTGCAGCAACGATCTTGGCGAATTGAATTAGTCAAGGGTGAGATTGAATTGTGAGTAGATCTTACATTCATGATTGGAACGTCAACTGGTATCTTAATTTCTCGCCAACTCCCCGCAGGTGGTTCTGGATGACTATGCTTGGCCAAAAGCTAAAGGTTGGAAAATCAGACAAAGCGTACTCATAGGGCATACTATGCTATTCACCTGCCTCGCCTTCTTCAAAAGTTCACCTATTTCACCTTCTTCCTCATGTATATCAGGAACGATGAGCTCTCCAGTGATACCGTATAATTCTACCCAGGCTGCATCGCTCTCCAGAGCATCAACAAGTTTACCAACCAGGATGGTGTGATGTTGGAGAGAAGGGGAGTCTTCTAGCACTGCCTGAACATGAGATTCGATTATGGACTCCACCTCTTGAAGAAGGCATCAGAACTAGAAAGAGAAAGCAGTGTACTGTATGTTTCACCTTCGCGCAGCATCCTGTACTTGATGGTCAGAATCAATGATTCACGAACTGAGAAAAGCCATGAGGAGAGGAAGTAAACAAGCAGAGAAAGGAGGAGTACCAGGTCCGTAAGCAGATTCGAGAGCAAATAAAAAATTCGCAGGTTGAGCTGGGGTAACTGTCTACAAGCCGTCTCGTTAGGAATCGGACGCTTCAAGAAATTCTCAAAACTAACCACGACCGGACGGTTACTCGAGCCTGGCCTTATCTTTACACCATCAAGGCCTTCTGAAGGAAGATCGAGGCTAGCGTCAGCTATCCGGACATGCTGATGACTTGTAGTTGACACGGTGAATTTCGAGATGAGTCTGCATAATGTGAGCAAATGTTGTCAAAACGTAGGGTTCACTACTTACCTATTTCCACGGAAAAAATCCTCTACATTTACAGAAATCGGTAGAGTAGTGACCAATACTCTTGAAAATTGAGAGATCCGTCTTATTGAGGGCTCGTTTGTTGCTTGATATTCCACTTCCAGATTGACTTTCTAACCAAGATAATGTCAGTTTTCGTTTCTGCCTTGGGAGGAGGTAAACATACCATTGCAGCGAAAGCTGAAGCATCCGAGTGAGGTACCAAAAAAGTAACGGTTTGATCGTCTTGAATATTGCCCAGGGTAATTTTATCCTTGTCGCACTCAAATAGGTAATCGTGTTCATCTGACGATCACACGTCATGAGCATTGAATCTTAACATGAGGAAGGTTCAACCTTTACCCTCGAGCAGAACAACATCCTGACATCGGAAGGTGACGGAAGATGATAGCCTGACAGTTAGTCTTTCAATGTGATTTCTGCCCGTTGATATAACGACCATAAGACTCGGTGATCTTCCAAGTTCAACTGATACATAATTGAATTTCAGCCATCATGGTAGGATTCAGTCAACCACATGACGCACTGCGATCAGATTGAGATATCTGCACATCCAAGGCAAGCAAATCGCGAGGTACGCGGAGCAAGGAAGGTTTAGAGGCTTGACTCTTATTTGAACCCTTCCGATAGTTCGATTGAAGTAACAGATGAGAGGATCGGATTTCACTAGACTCCAGAGCAAAAAGCCCCGAAGAATATGTCTGTGTCTGAAGTGGATATGCGATCTTGGAATATATAACGAGTACAACCTACCGGACAAAATAGGGTCAACTTTAATTTCCCAGGTGGACAACCATCAGGTATTGGCGAGGAATATGTGAACTTGGTAGAATCTCGTCCAGCTACGGTGACAATTATGTCGTCGGCAGGAAACACCTTCCAAAGGTATCAGAGGAAGATACACCCAATGTTGACATAGATACTCACACATGGAAGATGATTCGAAATCGTTACATCAAGATACGTCCCGTCCCTCGTCTCTGCTAACCTCGCATCAGGAGATATTTGAACAAGCAGGGCAGGATGATCAGGATGGGCCAAATCTGCAACAAAGATCAGCTATGATATTATAACAAAAAAAAGAATGTCCAGACCAGTTTCTAAACGTTTGGCAGATATCTTCAAAGAATTGATGAGGTTAGCAATATAGCTAATCCTGTCTGCCTCGTGTAACAACATCTCCGAGTTACATTGCTCGACATAAGTTTTGAGGAACGATAGTACAATGTGTATCCATTCCACGTCCTGTGCCTTTTCCAGTAGACCATGAGTGTCAAGGGCACGAGATAACATGAAGGATTCCAATGATGTCCACAGGTGAGGAGCATAGTGAGCTGGTAATGAGGTATACGTGTTCAAAGCTGCTGAAAAATTTCCGCGATGGCTGAGAGAGGTATTGTCAGTGTGAATACGTCACATCATCTGATGAGAAGACTTACACCTCGAGGGCTGACAAAGTGCCGTGAAGCTTCAGTGCAAACTTTCTCCGGCCTGACTTGGCATAAAAATCAATGGCACGGTTTGTAATAGCGGCATAGAGTTCATAGAAGGCCTGTTGATTGCTGACTGCAGTATTGAGGGTTTCGTTTATGAATTGGATCTTTGTTCCTGGTTGCAGTTGTTTATCCATAGACAAGGCAGTAGAGAATGGTGGAGTTGGAGGAAGATACCCGGCTTCAATGCCAATGATATCAAGCTGCGTAACAGAGATGATGAATACATCTAGAAATTAACAACCACAACAGATTTACTTGAGTTCGAGCTACATCCAGAAGTTCGCCTTTCCCTGCAGAGCCAGACTTAGATGCTTCAAGCTTGAAATCAGTTGACCACGTAGTGCACTGTTCAACAGCACTTAATGCAGAAGAATATATCCAAGCTTCGACAAACAGCGGTGGTAGAGTTGACTGCTCATGGTCAATTGTGAAATTCAAGCTAAAATTAATCACTAACCTCAGCCTCTCGAAGACGACTCCCAAAAGCTACAAGAAAAAGGGCAACTTTACTGGTAAGTTCAGTCATGCGTCCCATTTTGGCAAGCAATTGACATTGACGAGCGAGAAGATATATTCGAAAGTCAAAGATGGAGATGCGATTGGCTAAGATTAGGTCTCGGTAGGGCTTCTTTGCAGTAGAAAGTAGGGGTAGTGATTCGTCCTGAGGATCTGAATGAACAAGAGAGCCAAACCACGACATGTTTTTCTCCTTTGATACACGGTAGAACGATGCTTCCAGTTCATCGTATGGCACCAGGGCTTCCTCGAAGAGGTTCATTCCCTCGAAGGAAGTTGCTAAACTTTCCTGTGAGTACGTGAGCATAAGACATAGTAAATTAGACAAAAATGGTTACCTTGAGTATGAAAAACGTGCAGAAGTTCCAACCGGGCATTGATTGTTGGTTTTCCGAACGCTTGACCTCTTCCTGCCGTTGAGTAATCGCTGAATCAAAGGTGCACAGTAGCCCATCCTTCATCTTGTTGATAAATTCAGCCCATGCAAGTGGATTTTCATTGCCTGTGACCCAATTGACTTGGGCACAACTGTCTATCGCGTTAAGGGCTAAACCAAATGGCGACAATGGGACCCTCACCGATCACGCTTGTCTGAGTTGAAGTCCGTCTTCAATTTATCCAAGACTGTACCCTTGATCTGAAAGAAATTTCCAGGAGCTGAGCGTGTTGCATCTGGCTTGATGATTTGGAGAATCAACCATTCTGGATTCTTCCTTGCAGAGATACCGGTATGCCAGTCCTTGATCTGTTTCTTGTGGACGGTTCGGTATGCTTCCAAATCATTGTCCTGTAAATATATGCCCCTTCAGCAAAAAAAACCGCATTGAGAAATAGACCAAGGTAAATGACTTCGCAATGAAAAATGAATATATGAAGCAAAGGCTTCTCCAGCAAGGTGGAAGGAACTTGGGATGTAGGTTCTTCGCTAACAGTGTCCAAGGCCACAAGGGTGACGTCTAACTCTTGTATAGTCTTCACGGATTGCTTTGGCGGAGACTTTCTGTGAATATTCTTCAAAGGTAGTTGTGCGACAAGCGCTGCATAGACCTTGTTCCAGTTTGGCGATGCAAGGAATATGGGAGGTACAGAGTAAGAAACGAGAACACGCTGAGTTGAGGATCCAGACGACACGGACATAGCCGGCGGTCTTTCTTCAAAGCGACTCAGAAGTCAATGGTCCAAAGCACAGTGATAACCCGTGGGAATAAATAATATTGTCCATGTGGGT